TTCCCAAATTCCTCATTCTCCCAAGGCCGGGACTTCTCCCTCTGGATATGGCTGCCCCCCCCCCCGCCCACCCCAGAGATAGACCCATTGCATCCCATTCTCCACACTCACCAGCCACAAACCACCTTGTTCCAGACACAGCCCAGGGGATCCCTGCCCACTCCCAAATCACACCATCCCTGCAGGCTGCCTGCTGTGAGACCACAAACACCCCTCCCACCCTCCAGCACCCACCCTCCAGCTCCTCACTCGCCCCTGACCAGCAACATTCACACCGTTCAACCCGGGGCACCAGCCCTGCCCCAAGCTCATCTCTCCCCTAATGACCACCACTGGGGCTCTAGGGTCTCTCTGCCTGGTACTCCCATTGTCCCCTCTCCCCCTGACCTTCCCTCTGCCCCCCCTGACAGAACCAGGTGCGGCGGGAGATCTCCTACGCGCTGCGCTCCCTGCCCTGGATCAGCGTTCCCACCGTCGCCCTGTTCTTCGCCGAGGTGCGGGGCTACAGCAAGCTCTATGACAACATCCAGGACTCCCCGTATGGTGAGCTCTTTGTCCCCCTGTGCCCCCCTGCCCGGGCTGTCACCCTCTCCCCACTGCCCAGGTCCCCCAGGGCGCACGGTGTGCCCCCATTTCTCCTGATGGCAGCACAGTCCACCATCGTGCCTCACTCTGGCCCCATCTGTCACAGTCCCAAGTTCCTTTTATGCCCACACAAGGGAGCATCCACCCCCTCTCCCAGCTTGGGGACTGGGCACAACAGCCCAGTCAGTGCCAGCCCCCCTCCTGAAGAGAATGTCCCTGTTCCCCCAGGCTGGTCAGGCGTCTTCCTCAGCATGCTGTCCTTCCTCTTCTTCACCGACATGTGCATCTACTGGATACACCGTGGTCTCCACCACAGACTGTTCTATAAGGTATGAGGTGGGCTGGGGAACTTCAGGTGAGCTCCTGGCTCATGCTGGGGCTAAGCCACTGCTCCCAGGGAATGCATGTCCATGGGGGAATGGTGGGCTCAGCCTGGCTGGATGAAGCGTCACCTCGGTTTGTGCTGCGATGGGAGACCAGAGCCCATTAGGGCCCGTGTCCCTCTGCCTGACTGCCCCCAGCTGCTTTGGCTCCTGAGCAGTGAGTCCGTCAGTGGCCTGGGAACACCCCCAAAGGGACCAGGCTGTGCCTCAGATTCACAGCACTCCCTCTCCCTGCAGCGCTTCCACAAGCCCCACCACCTCTGGAAGATCGCAACGCCCTTCGCCAGCCATGCTTTCCACCCCGTCGATGGCTTCATGCAGAGCCTGCCCTACCACGTCTACCCTTTCCTCTTCCCCCTGCACAAAATCACCTACTTGGGCCTCTACATCTTCGTCAACGTCTGGACCATCTCCATCCACGACGGCGACTACCGCGTCCCGCGCCTCCTGCGACACGTCATCAACGGATCAGCCCACCACACCGACCACCACCTGTACTTCGACTACAACTACGGGCAGTACTTCACCCTCTGGGACAAGATCGGGGGCTCCTACAAGAACCCCACGTCCTTCGAGGGCAAAGGCCCCCACGACTACTTGCGCAAGCTCCGTGAGAAAGGTCCGGACATGCCCAATGGCCACCCAGACACCAAGACTCAGTAGGGTTCTCCCTGGCCTGGCCCCTCTCCAGGATGAGATTCCCTGGTTTTATCCTGTTCCTCCCCAGCCTCTCGAGACTATTACCCCACGGACAAAGAGCCCCCATCCTCTGATGGCACAACTGGCATGGAGCGATTCTTGGTGAGACCTCTGGCCTGCCCCTGCTCCCAAACCAGCCTCGCTGCTGAGTTGCCATCTTGCTCTGTGGCCCCTGTTGTTCCCCCTTCCCAGCTGCCTTTGGATCTCTGCTAACTTGAGTACCGTGCTGTTGCTTTACAATAACATGGCACAACTACAAGAAGAACATGGCCCGTGGCAGGGTCTCCTCTGTCCATGCCATGTGCTGCCATCCTGGCCTCGCTGCTGCAGAATCCATCGGGATGAGTCAAGTGGAATCGAGACAAGAAGCTGATGAGGTAACTTTTTTGAGGAACAAAAGCTGCACCCACCTGCCTTCCAGAGATGGAAGCACAGATGGCTCCCTGGCGTGGCAGAGGCTTGGCCTTGAGGTGCAGTGAGGCTCCTTGGTGCTCCACGTGCTCTCCTTCTTCCTCTCACCTGGAGATGCCCCATGGGCCCTGAAGGGACACGTCCCAGAAACAGCATGACTGTAGGACAAAGATGTGCTTTGAGTCCCACGGGTCCCTCAAGCTCCCTGAGAACACTGAGCGTGGGAGGAGGAGGAACAGGCACCAGGAGGCACGGGGCAGGAGCTTCTCCTTGCTCAAGGGTCCATGGCCAGCTTTCCCCTTTAACGTCT